CTCTGGCTGGGGCAAAGCAAAATATCTGCAGAGTATATCACTTCCTGAAAGACTGTCTGTGACTGAACGTGTGTGTGTGCGCGTGCGTCTTTATGTGTGTGTGTGTGAGAGAGAGTGTGTGTGTGTTCATCAATATGTTTGCTTTCTTCCTCACAGGACTCGTCTGACTTAATCACTCGTGTTGCATTACTAAAGATGTGCCGTGTTCTTTTTAATCAAACACGTTTCGTCACCAAAGTGCTCTTTTAAGGAACATCCGAATTCCAGCGGAAAAGCCGACCAGAAGATGTGCAGATCTCTTTTAGGGAATAAACATGATTAAAAGGCAATGCGAAGAGGAAGGCAGGAATACAAATCCAACAATTAGGAGGCGAGAGAAGACTTAATTTACTTTATGGAGGCACACAACTTCAGGCTCTTTATGATACAGAAATCGTCTCGCTTACTTTGAGTGGGTGTGTGCTCATTTGCATAAGCGTGTGGGTGTGTGAGATGCATACAAGCGCTGCTGCATGTGGGAGTGTTTATGTGTAACCTCGAGTGTGTAAGACAACAGATTCACCATTCAAGGGTGAAGCCATCCAGCTCGTCAGAGGGCTCCAGCTCTGGGATTGCATCCAGGAGCTCCGACTACATCACATTCCCCTGGATTAACTGTCAACCAGTTCCCAGATCTCCAGATTAGCGATTTATATGCCATTATCTTCCCTAAACTGGAGAGTTCACGAAGTCTACATCACTGAGTGTCAGTAGGACAGGGCTGCGTAAGACATTCCTGTGAAGCGAGCCAAACTGAGATGAGCGAGTCCAAATCTGTAACTAACACTGTCCTCTGGCTCAATGTTGCCTGGCAACCAAATTAGTCTCAGGAAACAAATACAGTCTTTTTCTGTTTCTAGCATATATTTTCTTGTTACCCACAACAGACCGACAGCATAGCTGCCAGAGAAGACAATAAATAATATTAAAAGGATACAAAGAAAGACAAACCAGTCCTGGTTTAGCTTGGACACATTCCTCTTTCAGTATTCCCATTGAACGACACACACGGCAAAGCACGTGCAGCTCCTGGGAGCTGTGTTGTTTTTCACTCTGTAATCCGGACAGACTCGAGGGAACGGGGGGTCCGTTATCAGCAAGGGGCCGTGATAGAGACTCGATCAGCCCGTCGGTCTGGGGGGACTGAGAAGCCGGAGTTAATCAGAGACCGACAGACCCCTCATTACCCCGGGGATTCACACCTCGACCCCGACAGTCTCTCTGTCACATAAATACGCACACACACACAGACACACTCACAAAAGCACAAGCGCTCACTCACTCTCTCTCTGGCCCATCACAAAGTCTGCAACACTTGCTGCCATCAAACTTTACTTCAGATGAAGCTCAACACCTTGAATCAGCAGCGGACCAAAGTGGACAGAAGTAAAGAAAGTTAGAAAACTTCTGGAGTGAAGGAAAATCATCTCTGAAAGGTGGCAGCTCTCGTTTGGTAAAAAGCTTTTTGGGGGGCATATTTTAACTTGCTTATAAGTTATAATGGTTATTCAATCAATACAAAACACGTTTGTGAAGGTTGCTAGATAAAATCCCATTTCAGGGCTCTGTCACTTCAAGAAAACAATCTGGAACTGACCACCGCCCATCCCTCTGGCTGCTATAAGCTGAGAGGCTCTGATATGTGGGAGGAGCTTGCAGTAGAGCTGCTGCTACTCCAACAGCAGCTGTTCTTCTGCAGGTGAGAGGGGTTCTGTGCTCATTTACCCATTTGTGACATCACAAACGGTCTTAGTGAAGCAACTTGTTTTTGGCACATTATTACTAAAACCAAACACTGACAGAAAAAGATGGATGATTTTTTTCACGTTTGGAGTGATTATAGAGACAGTAAATACTTACATGGCCGTACAAAAGGATGCAAAAAGTGAGTTTTGCATAATTAATTAATTGTTAAAAATTGCAATGACAATATAAACTGCAATAAATCCATAATAAGTCACAAAACGTGCTGGCAGTCGAAAGTAGGGAAGTGAAGGTCCGTTTTGTTTAATGGGGCATTATGGAAGTTTGACAGCCAAAACATGTATAGAAATAATAAATTTCTTCTTCATACATTCTCCTGCAATGCCCTGGTCCTGTAGAATGAGCCCTGGCATTTTTACTGTGATTGCCTGTTTTTCTGTAAAATCACAGAAAAAGAGAGATGCTCGGGTCGAGCAGGCTGCTTCATGCACGTTCACGCTCAGCCATAGCCCGTAGCATTTGCTCAAGGTCAAGGTCAAGGTAACTTTATTAATGCCCGCAGGTAAATTTGATTTGCCATGTGACATGAGAATTTGCTATCAGTAGCTTTAGCAGCAGAGAGTGAGGTAGTGCCAACTCAGCGACTTTGTCGCTGTTCCTAACGCCTAGTGATGAACCTAGCTACATTTCTGAGGACCCTTAGCTACTTTCTTCTAGATATTTCCTGCAAATTAGCAACAAAATAGCCATTTTCGCTCCGAACCGTTCTTTTAACGTTGTTTCAGCTGTCATCAAGGATATAAAAGTTACAGATACAAGAGACATCACCAGCGCTTTAGCTCACCTAGTAAGACCTCAGACTCTCACGCAGAAGATCCGGGTTTGAGTCTGGATGTAAAAACAATTTATTTAGAATTTATTTTTTACATTAATGGTATATTTTTTTACAGTAAGATGCCCAAATTTTTATTTGAGACTCGCCGAACGGCATTGAAATCACAGATAAAAAAGATGTGGGTTCAACTTTAATTTTGGAACAATTTTTCAAGCAAGGGAAGGGAATGATCTGAGCATGCAGGAAGACTGACCCATCATAAAACTTTGTCGGCTGTGCTGAAGAGAAAGGTACAGAACCAAATTGTTTAATTAATTAGCTGCGCGTTCTCCTGTCCTCTGTCCTCCGGGCCACACACACACACACACACACATACACACACACAAGGGACTGTCTCAGCTGTTATTTTCGTTAAGGAGTGTGCACGTACAGCATGCGCGCCTCGTGCACGAGCCTACTATTGAAGCTGCCGTTACGCTTTTGGCCAGAGGGGGCAATCGCGAGCATAAAAATTCAAAACTCCATAAAGTCCCTTTAAATGATTAAATTCTGCATGCAGTTTCTCTGCTGTTCTTTATTTGTGGCAGCATTGATTTTATGCACATTGATGTTATGGCATTTATATTTTTTTGATATATTGGGCAGCGCCTAATTCTGGGTAAAACATTTTTTTCTAAACAGCATCGTTATTGAGGCCATATGTTGTACGATCACTTAAGGCTTTTGGCCGCTTCAGATTATAACATGCAAAATGTCTTTTTTTTCTGATCATACTTGTTAACGGTTTTATCATTAAAGAAGTGCAGCTTTTTCACCACAAACCCGCAATTTTAACAAAAGTAGTATTTATGTAAGCTAGTTAACTAGTAGTTCATCCACTGCAACACATTCAGTGAGTTGAACTGGAACTGGATCCAGAAGTGTGCATGAAAGCAAGATGATTAAACGTCTTCACCTTCAACAGATCAAGACTTAAACTTCAGTTTGTTGCATTTTGTTCACCCCGAGAAATGACCGTGACTCTAGCTGATTTATGTCACTGAGCTCTGAAACCCGTGTAAATTCTCAGAAACAGAGCTAGCCGTTTAGCTGCATATTGACCAGCGCTGTCAAACAGCAGCCATTAAAGAGCTGACATGCAGGTATCCAGCTGGCCTACCTCTGGAGAAAGGTGTAGGAAATTATACGGCATTTAGATTAATTAGACACAGTTGTCAGATTTAATTAACTACTAGGTTTAATTAACCATGTAATTAATCTTATGGTGGTCCAACACATGTACCCACACACACACACACACACACACACACACACACACACACACACACACACACACACACACACACACACACACACACACACACAGATGGGCGTGGAGACACACAACTAGTGCCTACACAGATGTGAGCAGTACATACACAGCACATGTAATCTATTCGGCTGACAGGCACTCACACTTTTGCTGTCAAACCTCACAAGAGGGTTCAGCTGAATGGGTGACTGGATACAAGCTAAAAGAGCCTGAATGAAGTGCACATTGTAAGAATAGCACCTTTAATCCATCTCAAGTTTAACTTCTGCCCAGGTAGAATGATAATCTTCCCGCTGAAGCAGGTTTTCCACACACATTCGTGCAACTCCTTATCAAATACAAACCAGACAACATGGAGGAAATATTTATCACAGCGTTGACAGGCTGACAGACGGGACATAGCAGGTAAAAAATAGACCCAAGAACCACATTAAAACACCTCATTTGCAATTGGGAGCTCTTTGAGGAAAGGGCGCGTTCAATAGATCGACTGGTCTGAGTCCTCAGAAGATGAGAGGGTCGGTGAGGGAGGGGGGTCAATGATCCTGACCTTTTCCTCATCATGTCTGACCCCTGCAGCCGCAACAAGCCTGGCCTTGTGGGCTCCAAATTTGTCCCCTCTGTCTGTGCATTGTGTGTGAATGTGTGTGTTAATGTGCCGCCGTGATCAGCCAGCTGCTTCGCGTGATTTGACCTTTACTGAAGCCATGACTGGACCAATAAATAGCCAGGCATTACGGTGACCTTTCACCTATAGAAAGAACGTTCCTTGCACTAAAAGGGTCAGCGTTTCAGTTCGTCAACAGCTGAGCTGCGACGTTACACTTTTGGGTCACATCTGAAAGGGAAATCTTGCAGAATGCCATGAAGACTCTCATTCAGACTGTGAGCATTCAAGAACCTGAGCGAAATAACTTCCCAGTGAAGCACAGATGATGGCTGGGTGACAAAGCAGCAAAGAGCCAGACACACACCTCAAGCAGCATAAACCAGACGCCTCGTCACAAACAAACAGCCTCCCTCTCTGCGTGGGGTGGTACGTTCATGAGCATCTTTAAACGGTGGAAAATGCGCTTGCGTGAGGCAACAGGATTGGTGAAGTTCACTCACATAGTCATGGAAGGCCTTGGCCTCGCTGGAATGTTCGCATGTCTCCCTCCGGTCCGGGGCGGCGCAGTACAGGTCCCAGAATACACTGTGGGACCAGACAGAGACGACAGTTACACACTTTACCCTGCCACCCAAACATGACAATAACAGACATGCTTCAACACGCTTACACGAGCAGAAAATTATTCATCTAACCTTTAAAGAAACGTCTTTAAACCTTTAAAACGTTTGTATTTGAGAGGAAAAACGAACTGTCGATATTGATGGTTTGGGCCAAATCTAATGACAGCTCAGTGCTGTGTAGTCTGAACAGACAATGAGCAACTTTCAGTTTTTTATTGACTCTGCATTCTGGAAGAGCTTAAAAAGCCTTTAAAGACGTGAAAAAGAGCAAAAGTCGTCGTGAGAAAATTATCCAATCAAAGTGTGTGCAAATAATCTACAAAATAAGACTAGTTGTGGAAATGTTTCAAGCTAATTTGTAAAATAATTTCCTCCACTTGTTCATATCTCACTCATATCTCATTTGAACAGTTTCCCATTCATGTTCTCACTCCCTGTAAATATTCTGATAGAGTTTATTACGCAGTACTTTCATAATGTGGCAAATTTGCATCAATTCAACCGTTTGCATTTTTTTTTTACATATATGTTTGATCCACTGAATTCGTTATGCTTGTTGTGAGGTGTATTTGCTGCAGTCGCACAGGCATTTCCCTGATGAGGGGCAATAAAGGAATTTTCTGCTCATTTCATGTTACCTGAATTAGCCCATGGGGATAGCAGAGTATACTGTAGCATATACAGGCTGTGTCATATCGTATTGTATGACATATCATATATTACTTATTATACCGGACTATATTGCAATTTACTTTCATTCAGTTTCTAAAGGATCCTTAAAGGTGTTGTGCACTTGTTTAATCAATACATTTGCAGTGTTCTCTAGTAGGAATGAATGACTTGTAATTTGTACTCGAGGGGCGGAAAACACCACTGCACCATTTTCGGAAACTGGAGGTGAGCTTCATTGTATCTGAGCTTCGGAAGGCAGGATTTGGACTCTTATTTCCTGATATTTGGGCATCTCGCTTCTGATTGGATGACAGCAATGCGACTCTACCTCTGACATGCAAATTTGGATGTTTTATCTCCATACATAACAAAGGTCAGGAGGAGTTCTGCTGTGTGGTGGAGTAATGTTAACGGTTATTTTGTACTAGTCAAGATGGTCTCTGCTGTTTCCTGGACGCTAAACCAACAACAGCCTTCCCCGTCGTGAGTCCAAATGGGTGAGTCCATGAATGTTAAGTGACAGTGTGACGTAGACCCGTCAGGCTTTTCTAATCCTAGAGTTCCATCGTTTATTTTCTATCAGAAGCTAATGCACAAGATAGGTGTAGGAGACTATTTTCATGTTCAGCCTGCATGAAAAACTCAAGAGTGACCGATTTAAATTTAGAAATATTAATATAAAATGTCTTTTTGGCGCTCCACACCTTTAATCCTAAAGTAATTTTGGTGCTAAAAGGACACAGATGATTCGCTGTGGCAACCTCTAAAGAAAAAAGTCAAAAGATAAGAAGACCATTTTTGGGGCTCAGTAATCCTTCCATAAGTTAAAGCTTGAAAGATTTATATAATAGTGGGATCTGTAATTAGAAAAAGAACAGCAGGAGGATCATCTATAACACAGAATCGAGCGATCCTCCATTGCTGTTCTGGACACTTCACAAAACTTCAAGGGTGCATTTGAGTCATCTAGAGGAAAGTTTCTCCATTTGTGAAAACAGGAACCATTCACTGCCAAAAGCCCAGCAGAGCTCCTTTTGTCCACCACACAAACCTGTCGGCTCCAGAGAGACTCCACAGTGAAGGACCTCCGCGTGCTCCCCTCAGCCCACCCCAGCGACCTGCAGGTTACTGACCAATCAGCTCTGATTATGTTACTTAGCGCTCAACCAGCCACACTCGTACAATTTAACTAGAAAAGTTGCACTCCTCCAGGGGGCAACAGGGGCCGCGAGGTCCCACTCCAAATGGGCCCTTAATTACTGCACTGAAATTAAGTACTTGCCAAGCCAGACCATATAAAACAGTTCTCCTTCCTCACAATATTGATTTTATAGACAGTTTCGTAAAAGAACTCTTGAGAGGAAACTGTTGCTGCTTGATTACCGGCCTGATTTGTGCTGACTGGACATTTGATAACGGTGATGAGAAACAAACAAACAAAAACCACTAAACTAGACTTTCCTTGACTTTCCTTTCATTTTTATTTGAGAGCAGCAAATAAACAAAAACAATAAACACTACATTTTAATCATGTGGCAGACAAATGTGTTGTTAAAGTGTTTAAAGATTAAAAGACAGAGATGATGCCCAAAGGCACTCCGAGATCACTGAGGTCTGTTCTGGACAAGGAGGGCGCCGAGGAGCAAACGGGGACTGTGTAAAGCTGGCAGAAAACACACACACCGTGTGTGTGCTGCCCTTCTGTCACTTGACAATAAAGCCAGTGTACATTATCATATCTATCGGTTGGTGTTAAAGAGATTGCTGCTGTGTCAGAGACGAGAAAGTGAGAGCATCGCAAATCCAATCGCCTCTCAGGGAAATGAAACGCGATGCAGGTCATAGTTTGTTACAGAAAAGACGCAGCAAGGTGGAGGTGCAGGAGTCACGGTGTGTTTGTGTGTGTGTGCGTGTGTGCATGTGGGTGATGTAACACCTCCTGGTCTGGAAATATATTACAACTTGAACACCTGACCTGTCTGAGACGTTGAGAGAAATCTGATCCTGCGTCTTTCTGCATAATCTGAGGAAGAATCAGCCCAGAATCATTCATTATTCTGATATTACTTTGGTACGAAACATGTTTCCATGCAAAGTTACATTTAAATAACGAATAAAAAAAGAATCCAGGCGGAGTTGTGCCGGGGCGACTTCTGATGCTGATTTGACTTAAGAAAGAAAACCTACGTCACGGTTTTTGTCACGTCCTTTTTAGAGGCATTAATCTGTAAAAATCATCTGGAATGTCAACATTCGCAGCTAATTAGCACCAGCAATCAACAGGAAATCTTGCACTCTGCGTACATACCCTTGTAATAGTAAAATTCTTATCTAATTATCTAATTATTTCAATCTAATTATCTCATCACGGGAAGCTCTTTATGATCTTATGGGAAGTAGCTGCTGTTGGAGCTGCACAACTCGGCTCCGGGGGTGAAAAGTTTACCCGCTCTTACTTTGAAGAGAAATTCAGATGCAACTTGGGATCATGCTCATGTTCTTATTGGGATTTCTCCAGACAAAAACCAAGACCCAAACATAAAAGCTGCCCACACACACACATACACACACACACACACACACACACACACACACACACACACACATTTACTTTTCATCCAGGAACAGGGAGGAAGGGATTAGCGTTCGAACGTCCAGAAGAATACAATCACAAAGATAAAATGCCATTATAAAAATTATTTGTAATTAACTACAGCTTGACAAAGCTTTTCTATTGTGAGAGGCACAGTCTGTATCGTGTGTGTGTGTGTGTGTGTGTGTGTGTGTGTGTGTGTGTGTGTGTGTGTGTGTGTGTGTGTGTGTGTGTGTGTGTGTGTGTGTGTGTGTGTGTGTGTGTGTGTGTGTGTGTGTCAGATAAAAACACGGACATTAAGATGCGAAGCTGGAGATCAGGAGACATTCAGAACAAACCAGAGGTTGAGAAAATAAAAAGTAAAACCAAAGTAGGGGATTCAAACAAGCAGAGGCGAAGAAAAGCAACCTTTCCGGGTTTTATTTTATCGATACGAGTGAAAGAAATCCTGTTGGTGCGTCTGCAACAAGTTGGTGAAAGCAGAGACAAAGGGTACCGTTGTTTCCAGGAACACAATTCAGGGGTACTGATTTACATATAAATGAATAAATACAGTGCTTAAAGGTGGGTGATTATAGTTTATAAATAGGTAAAATTTGCTTTAAAATGGTTTCATAAAAAATCCTTCAGCTCTAATCCGTGTTCTCGTAATCTGAAAATAGATTGCATTCACTAACCCAGCTGTCATGTGGGCAAATATCTGAGTTTACAGTTTAACTTGAAAATGACTAAAGACAAACACATTGTTGTGGTTTACTTTAAAGGAAAAGTGGATTCATGTCAGCATGAATATAAATATAATTACAAGAAGATGTATCACAGACTTTGTAAAGACGACGCTCATGAATATTAGTAAATAAAATCATAACTGGTTGAGATCTGTGGTTTGATTGTGGAGCTGCTCAGGTTTTTAAACGCACGGATGACTGGATTATTAGTCGTATGAGTTGTTTATAGGTTAGCCACGTGTCACGAACATAATCCCTGCAGAAAACTTGAATATCCTTCAGCTCGAACACATCTTTCCTCTGAGTTTGTCACTGATCTGTTTGCCTTTTTGTTCTTTCCAGTGATGTTTTGATCTGTTTATTTCCTTTGATTGCGTTATAAATCCTGAACACGTGGATGTTTGATGTTTAAATTTAATCTGGGTTGGATTACGCTCATCACTGACTTACTCCCGTTCTGTGTTCACATAGCTTTGGTCCCTTTTCCTGTAAACAATAATATGTGAACTCAAAGTTTTGTTCTTTTTTCAACAGAAGAGGTAGAGCGGGTTGTCCAGCAATCGCAGGGTTAGCCCGGCTCCCAGCAGAGAATGCTGCGGTTGTGTCCTTGGGCAAGACACCTTGCCTGCTGGTGGTAGCAGGAGGAACCGGTGGCGCCTTCCATCAGTGCGCCTCAGGGCAGCTGAGGCTTCATCGTAGCTAATCATCACCAGTGTGTGAATGTGTGTGTGCATGGATAGATGACTGTGCTGTGAAGTGCCTTGGGGGGTTGTAGATCCCTAGAAGGTGCTCACACACACACACACACACACACACACACACACACACACACACACACACACACACACACACACGTGAAAGCAAGTTCTGTTGCCTCTCACAAGCAAGACTTTCAGCTGGAGGAGATGACCACATGCTGCTGTTGTTGGGAGGTTTATTGTGGATGTTTTGTGTGTTTGGGTGTGTTTTTGTGGGGTGGTGAGTGTTTTCAGAGGCCTTCCAGTGAAAACTGGTTAAACCAATCGATTTAAGGATAAAAAAAGAGACAACTAGCATCAGCCGATAGAGAGCTAATGACACAATCAACACCTGCAGCCCTCACTGAGCCTTTTCTTTATCCTTCCACCCATAACAACAGATGTGGATGGGTGGATGACCCCCCCCACCCCCCACCCACCCACCCCATCTACACCACCACCCTAACCGATCCCCTCCACTTTTCCTTCTTGTGTCCGTGGTCTTATTCTGAAGCCCCCAGCTCACCCCCTCTCACCCACCTATGGCGTCCTGTAGGAAATGGCCACGGAGGCAAAACACCAGCAAGGTGCTGAGGAGGAGATGTGGGGCCGGGGCTTCAGGGTAATGGTGGGGTCGAGGTCTTAGATTTGGCTGTTTAACACAAAAGAAGCAGGAATGCAAAGAGTTAATCCGTTCGGGGTCTCTCTCTTCCGCAAACAAAGGGACAGGCCTACAGACAAAGGTTGAAGGAGGAGGAGCGGTGGATGAGGGATGAGGGAGGTTGGTGGCTTTTCTGCCATCTGGAGCCTTTGTTTTGGGAGAGGCTGGAGGTTGGAGGGGGGGTGTTAGCTGGGTGGCACAGTGGTTGGAGGGGGAGCGCCGCCCCCTACACTCCCCATGCACACCTCCTACTCGTACAGTGTCTGTGTCCACGCGCTGTGCGGCCCAGACGGACACCCCATCGGCGAGGAGCCCCCGGCCCAGATAACCATCGGCTCATGCTCCCACTGCTCTCCAGCAAACACACCGCGTCATTTCCCACACAACTGAAATACATCACTAGTCAGAACACACACACACACACACACACACACACACACACACACACACACACACACACACACACACACACACACACACACACACACACACACACACCAGGCTGGCCTTGCTAAGTGCTCTTATTGGTTCCGGCAGAAGCAGGATCAAACTTTCGCTGCACTCTATGTTTGCATGTGTCATTCTGTCAGTAGAACTGGTAGCTGTCAGTTTGAGAGAAGCCAGACTGTTTAAGGGCCACTATGAACAGTGTCAACAAGCTGCACACACACACACACACACACACACACACACACACACACACACACACACACACACACACACACACACACACACACACACACATTACACACGACCGACCCGGGTGCTTTGGGGATGAGCAGAACAGCATGAATGACAAACAAAGCAGGCCGTGTCAGACCTCTCATCCCCTCTCGTTAACTCTCGTGCTGCCTTGCTGAGGATTCAGCCTCCCTGCCGTCCTTCCAGCTGGATTCTTTCCTGATAATAACCCACGTCTTCAGCTATCTCTTTTTTCCTCATAGGGTTTTTTTTTATCTATCAACCTGACAGCTGTAAAGGCCAAATCCTGCAGTGCATATTCTTTATCCCTTCTAAATCAGACATGGAGAAAAACACGCATGTCGACCTGTAAGTCCACTGGCCCTGTTCCTTCAAGTGAACAGAAAGTACTGGCCTTTATTTGTGTAGCATTAAGGGATCTGACAGATTTGTCTAAAGAGCCTGAAAGACAAGAACCCTCATCAGAGTCTTGTTTCATTAAACTGATCCTCAGGTTAAACAAAGTCTGTAAATCCTGACGGCAACATTTTTCAACCATCAGGTGCACCCCCTGAGGAGAGCTGAGTAACATGAGAGGAACAGGTGCATGCCAACCTTATACAAACGACAGCACGCTTTGTGGCTGATGGTGCAGATATGTTGATCAGGAGTTACAGCAGCAGCCTGGAAGCTCCCAACGTCCAGTCTGCCTCTAAAAAATTACGTTTATTTTCAATTTTGTAGCTCAAACTTCCTGAAAGTACCATTACCTAGTCTACAATGGGCTTTTATAGTATAATTAATTTTAAAATGTGCTTCTGTTTGGAAGCCATGAATGATCACTATCTTCGTCATAGCTCATATGTTCCTAAACAGCTCTGTTCAAAGAAATGGAGTTTACATCCTACAGGACTGACGTGCTAACGACTAGTGCAAGCTTAACAAAGACAAAAGAGAGTAGGTGTGATTTTAAAGATGAAATATTATGAATTTAATTGCTAAGTTGTAAAAGTTCTATGGTCAATATAAACATTTCATGAATTTCTGTGCACCAATCTCACATGAAGCAATCTCAGCAGTTTAATTCTTGACAGTTTCAGTACCTTCCAGAATGAGCCGTTTCAGGGCTCTGTCACTCTAAGAAAAAAAGCTGCAGCTGGCCACACCCATCCATCTCCCACTCACGGTGCTATAAGCTGAGAAACTCTGAGTGGGGGCTCAGAGTAGAGCTGCTGCTTCTCCAGGAGCACCTTTCTCTTGTTCACTTTCCCCTTTTGTGACGTCACAAATGGGGACCTTTTGAAATAGGTTGTTTTGTAAGACCAAAACACAGAAAACCGATGGATCTTTAAAAGAAAGTTTGGAATGTTTATAGAGGCAGTAGAGACCCTAAAGGCAACTTAGAAGGATGAAGAAGGTGAATTTAGCATAATATGTACTCTTTGAAACATCCAAACTTTTGCAGCATTTGATAAAAAATAATCTATTATGAACTATTACACTGTTGCTAATTCATAACATGTGGTCATATCTGCAGGAATATTAATAACTTCCTGCTGAGGCTGACCTCTGGATACATAGGATGCACTACATTTTGCTCCAACTGTTGATATCAATCATTTTTCTCTGGATCATCCCAAGACCAGATTCTTTTTCCCAACCTTAACTTTGACAAAGGATGATTGTGCTTAAGATGGGCTGAAGTAACAGAGAAGGAACGAAACTGTCTCTTTTTTTTTAGCTGAGTTTAATTTTGTTACCTATCTATTAAAGGTGATTCTGAAGTTTAGGATCCACTACCCTAGATTGTGTGCACCTCCCATTATTTTTAAACCACACTCTCCACTGCTGGATGATGGCCATCTGTGTACTCAACCTACAAACCAGGACAATTTCAAACTCAAAATCTACTATGTGGACCATTTAACACCAATAAACAGCCGCAATGTAAAAGAACAGAGAAAACACGCGTGTCAGTGAACAGTCAAGCAGCACAGAGTTAGAGAACACCCAGAGCAGCAGTTCATCACAGCTAGAGACAACAAACCAACACATAAAATCCCGCATGTGCACACTCATGCCTGAAATCTAATCAGAATCTGTGTTAAACCTAACATGTATTCTGAAAACACTAAAAGCTTCACATGGAAAGATCCAAACGCTCAAGAGTTGCTCTTGCAGCACTGGGTCAAGATGAAATCTGGGCTATTTGAGCTGAAATGATTATAAATGTTCTAGTATTTTTAATGTGACATTAAACTCATCATATATGGCATACATGGCCGCAAAGATTTTTTTTTTACCAGTCACATCCAAAACAATTAAACTTAAAGACCCGGATGAGACTGAAGCACTCTAGATGTTTTTTCTTCCCAAGTCCCAATAATCTAATAGCTGTTTCCTGAACTGTAGCTAATTCAGAGTGTTTTCATCAAAAGCGTCTTCTGAACTGGAACGTGAACTTGTAACACTCTGTGGAAGCAGTTCAGCTCCCACAGTTCATGAAGTGATTTGATAGTAGGCTCAATTACTGATTTTTGACATTAATTGTACAGTGAAGACTCCAAGGAGAGGTCACACAAAACAGCTGAAATAACAGAAAAGGGCAGTTAACTGAGCTGTCAGTCAGGACTCCGAGAGATGATGCACTTAGCCGTCTCTGCAATAACCGTATGCCTCCACTCTTCAGCATCCATTCAATACATTGGAGTCATTTTGCGGTAAACCACGAAAGGTTTAGAAAGAAAAGCAAACAAGAAAGGGTAAAAGAGAGGACGGACGTGGACTTACCACCACCATGAGTGTAAAAATCCTGGAGGCTCCCCGAGTGTGATATTCTTCTCCCATCGAATCTGAGAGAAAGGAGGAAAGAAGACAGAAGACAAGAAAGACAAATTAGACTCTGCAACATGTTTTATGCATTAAGTAATCGTTTTGTTTAACGGTCACTTTCAGACTGACAGGACGACAGTGGGGCAGATAAATAATAAGGCCAGCGAGGAGCTCGCTGATCTATAGCACTGTGCTGAGTTTTGTGGGTAATAAGAAAGTGTGACTGTCTGGAAGTGCCGGCAGTCGTCTGAGCTGCTCCCACAAGACCAGCAGAGCTCCCCGTTTGTATCTGGACTCCCAGATAAGATCCAGTAAGCGATAACGGACCAGAAATGCCTGCTGTACACGCTCTCTGTGACACGAATCTACACACAAACACGCACAGACTCAGGGCACACACACACACACACACACACGCACACACACTCTGAAGAGTACAGCATGACACCAGCAGGAATTCTGCCTCTTTTGTCTCTATATGGGCTTCTTATGGAAGACAAAGAAAAAAGATACAAGCCCCATGTTTCTATTAAAGTGTCTATTCTACAGATTTCCCCTGTGTCACTTATAATGATGGGATGTGCTGTGCGTTGTTGTGGGCTTGTTTATTCAATGCCACTAAAGAGCTGTGCAGGAGGGGAAGTCCTCTCAGGGGCATGAGTGTATACTATAAACGTGTGTGTGTGTGTGTGTGTGTGTGTGTGTGTGTGTGTGTGTGTGTGTGTGTGTGTGTGTGTGTGTGTGTGTGTGTGTGTGTGTGTGTGTGTGTGTGTGTGTGTGTGTGCGTGCGCCCGCTTTCTGCTGATGGAGGAGCAGAGGCTAATTAAGTAAGGAGAGGCCAGGTGATAGAGCGCTCATTAGTTCAGCAGGTGTGTGTGTGTTGCTTAAGAAACATGCACGTGTGTGTTTTCATGTGTGCTTAAAGGTGTAGACAGCTTGTTTAATCAATACATTTGCAGTGGTCTCTGGTAGGAATAAATGCCTTGCAAGTTGTACTCAGGGCAAACACTAGCCCAGACTTGCTTGGATCGGCACCGACAAGCCTCCGGATGCACGTGTGTCAGCAGACAGCAGGGTTTGGAGTCTTATCTCCTGATATTTGGACGTCTCGTTGGATAACAACAACACAATTCTACCACTGACTTGCAACACTGACATTGTATCTCCATGGATAACACAAGCCTGGAGCAGTTCTGCTGTGTGGTGGAGTTGCTAATGCTAACAGTTAGCCTTTACTAGTTGGGACATTGTCTGCTGATTCTCAGACATCAAACCAACAACCGCCTTCCTAGTCGTGAGTCAAGATGGGTGAGTCCATGATTGTTAAAAGACAGTGTGATGTGGATCTGTCAGGATTTTCTAATCCTAGAGTTTCACCGTCTATTTTCTATCAGCAGCTAATGCAGGAGACAGGTGTAGGAGCCATGTTCATGCAGCCTGAATGAAAAGCTCAGGGTGACTGATTATAATCAGAAATAATCATTAAAAAATTGTTTTTCAGTGAATCACACTTTTAGAAAATATTTTGGGTTTAAAAATAGCAACATTTAAAACCCGCTATTTATTTTAATAATAAGTTACAAATGTTTGAAGAGAGTTAATGGAATAATTTGTGTGTTATATCTGGTAAAAAAAAATTTTAGATCATAATAAGTTTTATTTTTAGTCTCTTTATTGATCAAGAGCTTTTCTCTTACACTCAGTTTAAATGTTTTCTCTTGCATCTGATAGTTTAGTCATTAGAAAAGTCTGGAATAAGTACAGCTGCTGAAGAACACCACTTGTCCACTTCATGTTGCAAGTAAAGTTCTTGATGAAACTCATCACACTGGTTGTGTGGATGATGTCCAGGTTTTTTAATGTCTTCGAAATGAGACTCTGGAAACTCTTGATCAGCGGCTCTTCACATAAAGTCAAATCTCTGGGATAAAATCCACTCAGAAAGTATCATAACTCCTCTGAAAGGACCGAGAACTGATGAAACTCAAATATCATGCCAAACAATCCTGACTTAGCATTCTCACAATATGTTCCTCTGATTTTCTTTTGAGGCAAACACGTTTCAGCATTTACATAATAACTAATACAAGAACAGAACAATTGCTCACAACTGGAGAGGCTTTTTCTTTTTTTTTTCCATTTTAAATGAAATATCTTTTCTTACAACAACCCTAAGTGGATTGGATTAAGCTTTGATAAAAACCAGGAGAAGAAATGAGAGGTACCTTAGATATCTTCTTGCTCAAGATAACGAGATTAATTATAAATGATAGATGACCCGCACTTGTATAGCACCTCTCAGAGTAGACTCCAAAGCGCTTTACACTACAGTGATAAATGTACAATGATAATTCATCCACTCACACACACATTCACACACTGATGGTGATGAGCTACGATGTAGCTGCAGCTGCCCTGGGGCGCACTGACAGAGGCGAGGCTAACGAGCACAGGCGCCACCGGTCCCTCTGAACACCACCAGCAGGCAAGGTGGATTAAGTGTCTTGCCCAAGGACACAACAGCAGAATTCTCTGTCCATAGCCGGGATCGAACCTGCAACCTTCCGATTACTGGACAACCCGCTCAACCTGTTGAGCTACTGCTGCCCCCATAATTATGTAATTATGACATTTTTTACTGTCAACTTCAAACATAAAGCTTCTTGACAAAAAACAAATAAACATCTTGATCTACAAATCGTTCAGGGTATTCTGTCCTCTCACAGATGTATGTTTCTTTTAAAGAAGGAACTTATTTACTACCTATAATACATTATTATTACTTTACTTAATATAAGATTATTGAGCAAATGCAATAACATGTCCATGTGGCAAAACTGAACTACTACAAGGTAGGGGTTGTATGAACTATTCGACTTCACGGCTCTGTAGTGACTTTTTATGCCCGTCATCGACTAGTCGCTGTCACGCGATAATAAGATGCAGTCCTCAGAAAAGACAGCAGGATCTTTCATGGCGGTTAAAACGAAGAGTCGGAGTACCCGGCCCGGAGGGTTACCGGGGTCCCACCCTGGAGCCAGGCCTGGGGTTGGGGCCCGTGAGCGAGCGCCTGGTGGCCGGGCTTTCGCCCATGGGGCCCGGCCGGGCCCAGCCCGAACCGGATACATGGGCTCGTCCAACTGTGGACCCACCACCCGCAGGAGGAACATGAAGGGTCAGGTGCAATGCGAATCGGGTGGCAGACCAAGGCGGGAGCCTTGGCGGTCCAATCCCCGGACAAGAAAACTAGTTTTTGGGACATGGAACGTCACCTCGCTGGCGGGGAAGGAGCCGTAGCTTGTGGCAGAGGTTGAGCGGTACCGGCTAGATATAGTCGGACTCACCTCGACACATTGCATTGGCTCTGGAACCCGAGACCTGGAGAGGGGTTGGACACTCTACTTTGCTGGAGTTGCTCCGGGTGAGAGGCGGAGGGCTGGGGTTGGCTTTTTGTTAGCCCCGAGACTCTCTGCCTGTGTGTTGGGGTTTACCCCGGGGGACAAGAGGGTAGCTTCCTTGCGCCTTCGGGTCGGGGAACGGGTCCTGACTGTTGTTTGTGCTTATGGGCCAAATATCAGTTCAGAGTACCCACCCTTTTTGGAGTCCCTGGGACGAGTGCTAGATAGTGCTCCATCAGGGGACTCCATTGTCCTGCTGGGGGACTTCAATGCTCACGTGGGCAATGACAGCTTGACCTGGAGGGGTGTGATTGGGAGGAACGGCCCACCTAATCTGAACTCGAGCGGTGTTTTGTTATTGGACTTCTGTGCAAGCCGCAGTTTGGCCATAACGAACACCATGTTCGAACATAAGGATGCCCACCGGTACACTTGGTACCAGGGCAGCCTAGGTCACAGGTCGATGATAGATTTTGTAGTCGTATCATCTGACCTGCGGCCGTATGTTTTGGACACCCGAGTGAAGAGAGGGGCGGAGCTGTCAACTGATCACCACCTGGTGGTGAGTTGGATCAGATGGCAAGGGAACATGCCGCGTAGACCTGGCAGACCCAAACGCATAGTGAGGGTCTGCTGGGAACGCCTGGCAGAAGAACCTGTCAAGACGGTCTTCAACTCCCACCTCCGGCAGAGCTTTGACCACGTCCCGAGAGCAGTGGGGGACATTGAGTCCGAGTGGGCCTTGTTCCACTCTGCGATTGTCGAGGCGGCTGTTGCTAGCTGTGGTCGTAAGGTGGCCGGTGCCAGTCGTGGTGGTAACCCCCGTACCCGCTGGTGGACACCAGAGGTTCGGGGAGCCGTCAGGCTGAAGAAGGAGGCCTACAGGGCGTGGCTGGTCTGTGGGTCTCCGGAGGCAGCAGACAGGTACCGGATAGCCAAGCGGGGTGCAGCAGTGGCAGTTGCCGAGGCAAAATCTCGGGCGTGGGAGGAGTTTGGTGAGGCCATGGAGAAAGACTATCGATCGGCTCCAAAGAGGTTCTGGCAAACTGTCCGGCGCCTCAGGAGAGGAAGGCAGCAACTCGCTCACACTGTTTACAGTGGGGATGGGGAGCTGCTGACGTCAACTGAGGCTATAGTCGGACGGTGGAAGGAATACTTTGAGGAGCTCCTCAATCCCACCAATGCGCATTCCGAGGAGGAACCAGAGCTGGGAGGCCTGGGGATGGACTGTCCGATCTTGGGGGCAGAAGTTGCTGAGGTAGTCAAACAACTACACAGCGGCGGAGCCCCGGGGGCGGATGAGGTTCGTCCTGGGTATCTCAAGGCTATGGATGTTGTAGGGCTGTCATGGTTGACACGTCTCTACAACATTGCGTGGTCATCGGGGGCAGTTCCTAGGGAGTGGCAGACCGGGGTGGTGGTCCCCATCTTTAAGAAGGGTGACCTGAGGGTGTGTTCCAACTATAGGGGGATCACACTCCTCAGCCTCCCGGGAAAGGTCTACGCCAAGGTACTGGAGAGGAGGGTCCGATCGATAGTTGAATCTCAGATAGAGGAGGAGCAATGTGGTTTTCGTCCTGGCCGTGGAACTGTGGACCAGCTCTATACCCTTGCAAGGGTGATGGAGGGGGCATGGGAGTTTGCCCAACCAATCCACATGTGCTTTGTGGATTTGGAGAAGGCTTATGACCGTGTCCCCAGGGGCACCCTGTGGGGGACGCACCAGGAGTATGGGGTGGGTGGCTTTCTGTTAAGGGCCATTCAGTCCCTTTACCAGAGGAGCGTGAGTTTGGTCCGCATAGCCGGTAGTAAGTCGGACCTGTTCCCAGTGAGGGTTGGACTCCGCCAGGGCTGCCCTTTGTCACCGGTTCTGTTCATCACTTTTATGGACAGAATTTCTAGACGCAGCCGTGGTGTGGAGTGTGTCGAGTTTGGTGGCAGGAGAATCTCGTCTCTGCTTTTTGCGGATGACGTGGTCCTCCTAGCTTCATCCAGCTCTGACTTTCAGCTCTTGCTGGGTAGGTTCGCGGCCGAATGTGAAGCGGCTGGGATGAGGATCAGCACCTCCAAATCTGAGACCATGGTTCTCGACCGGAAAAGGGTGGCTTGCCACCTCCGGGTCGGGGGAGAGGTCCTACCTCAAGTGGAGGAGTTTAAGTATCTCGGGGTCTTGTTCACGAGTGAGGGTAGGAGGGATCGGGAGATCGACAGGCGGATTGGTTCGGCGTCTGCAGTGATGCGGACGCTGAGCCGATCTGTCGTGGGGAAGAGGGAGCTGAGCCAGAAAGCCAGGCTCTCGATTTACCGGTCGATCTACGTCCCAATCCTCACCTATGGTCATGAGCTTTGGGTAATGACCGAAAGAACGAGATCGCGGATACAAGCGGCCGAAATGAATTTCCTCCGTAGGGTGGCCGGGCTCAGCCTTAAAGATAGGGTGAGGAGCTCGGACATTCGGGAGGGACTCGGAGTAGAACCGCTGCTCCTCCGGATGGAAAGGAGCCAGTTGAGGTGGTTTGGGCATCTGGTCAGGATGCCTCCTGGACGCCTCCCCGGGGAGGTGTTTCGGGCATGTCCTGCCGGCAGAAGGCCCCCGGGTCGACCCAGGACACGTTGGAGAGGTTACATCTCCAATCTGGTCCGGGAACGCCTTGGGGTCCTGCCGGAGGAGCTGGTTGACAAGGCCGGGGAGAGGACGGCCTGGAGCTCCCTAATTGGGATGCTGCCCCCGCGACCCGGACCCGGATAAGCGGAGGAAGACGAAGACGAAGACGAAGAAAAGACAGCAGGTGATGAGCCCCTGTGTCGGGAGGCGGAGGCGACGTGCTGTGTCAGAGCGTCGGTACCGACACCGGCGGTAAAACGGACATTTAACCGAACTGTGACCTTTTCCCTCTTGCAATTTAACCTTCCCCTCACCCCCATCCTAATCTTAACCAGTTTGCGCATGCAAAGCTCTGATCGTTGATGCGCTCCAGACATCTGCATCCTGAGCACCGCCAAATCAGGTGTCACCACCTCAAAAACAAATTAAACATGCGATCGTTCATGTCGGCTCATTTCCTTTAATGTTTTCTGTCTGTTATTTGTGCCTGATGCGTTTCGCTGCTGCGGAGCGAGGCGCATCACCTGTTTTGTCCTCCGGTGACGCACCCCCAAAATTCCACTATCTCCGCTCCGGCACGAACTCCGCAGCAAAAACGGTCCCGTTGTAGTCGGCCGGCGAGCAGCGGCACTCCGCTGTTTTCTGTTCGGTAGATCTTTTAGAACTGCAGTTCAGAGGTAACTCATGAGGTGAACATATATGAACCCAGGTAGCAGTTTTTCTTTAGGATTGAGAGGAGATGCAGGAAGATAATAAACAGACGGGACAGAAAAATAGTCAAATAAAAACAAGTTAGTTTTTGAACCTGGTGGTTGCAACAAACAGACACCACTAAAGGTAATCAGAAGTGAGGAACAGAAAATGAAATAATTATTTTAATGTTTAGAGCAGCAGGAACTCCGAGAGGCTGCAGGCGCATCAGTGAGTTTGCGGCCGCTGTGCAGGGGGAGGGGAGAGAGGGCTGAAGCAGAAACTACCGTTGTTAAAAGAAATGTGTTTAACTTTGAAAATATGGGCGCAATTTTAATTGTCAAAAACTCCAGCGAACCTACCGACCCCCCACCCCCACCCACCCCCACCCCCACCCCCACCCACCCCGGCCGCTTCAGGTGTATGACGTCATCAACGACTAGTCGAAGTCGACTCAATTTTCATTACTTGACTGTCGACTTTAAAAAACATTAAGTCATGCAACCCCTACTACAAGGACCGATAAATCTGTGGAGTGACTGATGCATTTTTTTTGGGAGGGGGGATCCAAAATCGTCCAACAGGTTTAAGAGGAAACATCTTTATTTTGGTGGAGCTGTCAACTCAACAAAAATCTGATTCATGTGTACTTCTTTAAATGAGATGCCAGAAGATATAAAAGTAGTAAACCTGGTTATGATTTAAAATGATGTAATTTAGTTTAACATCTTCAGCCTAAATTAGCTGAAAACTCCCCGATGCAGATTAGTAGTAACTCCCTCTAATCATACAGAACACATAATAAAGCCCAGAGTAAAGGCTGACCTGTCTTCATGTGCTCTTCTAAAGGGACTGGGTGTTTTATGTTGAGCTGAACAAAGTGGATAGTCAAAGTGTTCTACTGGATGATGCCTGGACACGGGACCATTAGCAGGAAGGACGTCCATTAAGGAAAAGGATGCAACACATTAGATACCTTACCTCCTTTACAGTTCAGGGGCATAATATGGGGTTAATTCGTGGAGCAGATCCTGGACAAATGCTTAAGATTGTGTTGGCTTCTAACTATCTAAAAGAGCAGTCAGTTCAACGTGGCTCCAATGATCAGGAGTCACAGCAAACACGAACAAATCTCAAATATTACGTCTGATTACACGGTTTATGATGCAAATGTGTGTTTGAAAAGCAAGAGTCTAACTTCTCTCATCTCAGATTGGATGACAGCAACGCGACAACCACTGACTTGCAATGCTGATGTTTTATCTCCATAAATAACACAAGACTGGAGGAGTTCTGCTGTGTGGTGGAGTTGCTAATGCTAAATGTTATCTTCTACAAGCTGAGACATTCTCTGCTGCCTCCTGGACGCTAAACCAACAACAGCCTTCCCCATTATGGGTCAAGACGGGTACGTCCATGAATGCTAAGTGACGGTGTGGCGTAGATCTGTCAGGATTTTCAAATTCTAGAGGTTTCTATTACAACCTAATACAGAAGATACGTGCAGGAGATCCAGACGTTTACACGTTGGATCACACATGGGACTGTGTTATCAGCATGAAGGATGCGGGAAGCAGAGGGTGACATCGTCCTCTGCTGCCCGCACATAAACGGAAGTGACGCCACAAACAGAAACATGTCAGTCAAAGGTTAAAAAAAACATCAAATTGCTACACTGTGTTAAATAAGAAAAAAGAAGATTTTAATGTTCAGCCTGCATGAAAAATGCAATGGGTTAAAAGCAGGGGATCACTGCCATATGTAACGAACAGGAGGTGACGTCAGAATGAGTTTCTTACCTCTGACAGGAAGGTCTGTGCTGATTTCTGTGCGCCAACATGCAGCAAATACTCATACACATATAAAGCTAACCTGTAAGACAAAGAAAAGGGAGGAAACATCAGCACTAAGGGTCACATTTTAAATGTGCCTGTTTAATTAACAATCATGTGTATGTGTGTGTGTGTGTGTGTGTGATCTCTATATATACATATATATAATATCTTTAATCTCATTAATATCTCATATCTCATATATATATAATCTCATTCTTTGTTTCTTCATCTTTTTCAGTCTACAAACTGGCAAATAAAACAAAAAATTCAAAGTTTGAAGAGCAATTAAGCAAAAGGGAGCCTCGTTGAACAAGATTTCCCTGCAGGAAGAATGGGTACGTAGTGAAGGGGTAGTAAATAGTCAAATACTCTGCAGCTCAGAGCTAAAGAGCTTCAGGTGGCACGCAGCCATATCCGTGTGGTTTTAGGATCTCTGCTGTTGAGGCAAAGACCCTGAAAACTAAGGAGGAACAGGGCGGGGGGGGGGATGAGTGACACGCTGAGACACGGCAGAAGATAAACTCTCCCAGATTGACCAGACCAACAATAGTGGCTACATGTGTCCACAGCATAAAATGCAGCAGTTTTTCTAAATAAAAGTTCTACATTTGTACACATTTTGTGTTTTCAGTAGGTCCATTGGGGTGCAGCTCATGTCTAAAAAGTTATAAAGCTGGAAGGGGGGGAAATAAAAACAATGTACTTTCTCCAATTATGTAAAATTCTAAAGAGATCTCACAATCATCTAACCCAGTTTTACCTTTTACCTTTAATTCCTGTAACAACATGATAGCCATTCATCTGTCCCATAATTCCATCAGATCCACTCACACACCCTTCAGAGGGGTTTCAAAGACCTTGGAGCCCATCAGTGGGTGAGAGGTGGAACAGTCTGGTAGCTTTAAGGCTGACATACAGAGTATGTACGATATCAAAGCCACACTCTCCTTTACACACAGTCTAGATCCTGTTCGCACCTGCTTTACATGCATCATGGACGATGAAGTCACAAGTGGGTGTGAAAGCATCAGAGAAGTACTTTAGGGGAAACTTTAAGGAGATGCAATGTCTCCCAACTAAAAGCTGTTTGGTTTAAAGACAATTAATATTGGGAAATACACAAAAAAAAGGCTTGAGATTGTTTTTATGAACAAGATCATGACCAATCATGAGTGCTCTAGCAGCTAAACCAAGTCCTAGAAAAGATAAACAATCAGATCTGACATAAACGGTCCTCAGCAAACCAAACCGGAGACAAGCTAATGCCTGTGATGTTCTCTGAGTTGGTCACCAGAAAAAGCATCATGCGAGATGCACACAGAGTATGACTAAAGCAAAACAGTTGTTATCAACCTAACTTCCATGTATTTAAATTCAAAGAAACCAGACCACTGGCACACAAGCGCACAGAAAGAACATGCAAATTGCACACATCAGACCCTTTTCAGGCTTCTGATTCAAACTCCAGACCGCCTTGCTGTGAGGTGTAATCACAAAGGTGAAAATTGCAGCTCAGATGACAAATAACATATCTGTTTGTCAGATCTGAGAGCTGAACAGTCACAGAGAAACAGAGAAAAAACACTTTTTTCTTTAATAACATTAACAATTAAACCGCCACACTGTTCCATGATATTAAACATGTCATCGCTGTTTAAAATGCTGTTTCCTATTTGTCAAAATTGTCAAAGCCCACAGTTACACATTTGCTCCAGAAAGTGAACTGTGTGATGTTTATCCAAGAACAAGTTAGAAACCAGTTGCTTAGTAACAAAACAGCAGGGCTCCATAAAAACCGCGTCTCCTCTCCAATAAATATTACGACGCATTAAAAACAGCAATAAATCATTTTTTAATCTCTTTTGGTAAAAATAAACTCTGTGTTACCTGCTCATTTGTGTGTTAACGGTGGAGAAATGATAGTTTTGTCACCTTTGGGTAGATCCTAGTTAGCTCATGTTTATTCACTTTAAATGAGAAAATATTCAGTAAGTCAGTCTTGCTTTCAGTTAGTCCCGTTTATACTTCTTAAACAGAAGAAGTTACATATCCTTTAGCTTAGCGTAGTCAGTTTTTTAAATAATCCTATATTATACAACTGATGTTATTAATAATACCTTATAATTTTACAGTAATAAATGAACTTTTAGCTGTTTTCACTGTGACTAAGACTGATTTTATGTTGTATTTCCACAACAGGACAACCGCTCTTGCTGCAGGGCTTTCATGGGTTTCTTTCTGTTGTTGCTTGTTTTTACTGCGGCGTGCCTCAAGGATTAGTCCTCGGTCCTTGCTTATTCTCCATATACCGTATGGGCTACAGTAAAAAATATAACTTTTTTTTTTGCAAATCTAGCATCAACATTTTATGCAGATGAGCTTTATTTAGCGTTTGCTTCATTCATCTATGAATTACTAATGTTCAAATCAAGCAAATGTAATTAAATCGGACTTGAGAATCCTCAGATTAACGTACTCATTAGTAGAATCACTTTTTATAAACTTAACTTTATACAGCAAGCAAGTTTCACTTCAGTTACAATAAAGATCCGGAAATCTGATGTCTCTGTCCCACAAAACAAAATTTAAATGGCATTCATACTTTAATTACTGTGATAATTTAACCAATGCTTAGTAAAACTTGTCAGTTACAGACGTCCCTTGCTATAACACAGTTCACCCTTTGCAGCTTTGTTGTTTCGTGGAATTTTTCCATCAATAAGTAAAAGGCAACAATGATAATTGACATAAACAAAAATCCAATCAGAAAATGGAAAAGATAAGCGAACAGAAAAAATAAAAGAATCGGCAATTAGGAGAGTTATTATTATTATTATTATTATTATTATTAGTAGTAGTAGTAGTAGTAGTAGTAGTAGTAGTAGTTAAAGTCCCATTAGTTGTCACACACACAGGTGTGTGTGCGAAATTTATTCTCCACATTTGACCCATCCCCTGGGGGAGCGGTGAGCTGCAGACAAGCCGCGCTCAGGAACTATTTGGTGGTTTAACCCCCCAATCCAACCCCTTAATGCTGAGTGTCAAGCAGGGAGGCATTGGGTCCCATTTTTTCAAAGTCTTTGGTATGACCCGACCAGGAATCGAACCCCTGATCTCCCAGTCTCAGGGCGGAGTAGTAGTAGTAGTAGTAGTAGTAGTAGTAGTAGTAGTAGTAGTAGTAGTAGTAGTGGTGGTAGTAGTAGTATCAAACCGATTATGTTGACATAGGCTTAAGACACATTTTTACACACAAGCTGTTAAGCACATTGCACAGTAATTAGTGTTCTCATTTGTGCACCAGTGTTCTTAATAGTTTTAGTGGTAGTGTTTTAATCATCTTATTTTTATTTATTTATTTGTTTTTTGTTTGTTTGTTTGTTTGTTTGAGCAAATGTTTTAATGAGTGTAGTGTTCACCACTTTGGGTATCCTTTGGATTGTTAAAAGTGCTATAAAAATAAAGATGATGATGATGATGATGACGATGATGATTTCTGAGTTTCAACACTTCTTTAATCCTTTTATGAAGAGCTGACTTAATGGCACTGATGTACAGATTCAAACCCTCTTTTTAAGAAAGAACAGATTGTTACTTGCTCAACAGCTGACTCATCCTTGTTGCTTGTCGTTGCTTTTGCCTTATTAGTGCTCCTCACTAGAAGAGAGCTTGACAACTTTTAGCTGAACTAAACTCCACAGGGCACTAGACTGCCTGAGTCCTCCACCCACAGCTAACCCAACCCAGAGACAGTACTGGTATCGACCGGTGTGGACCAAAACCTGTTCCTGCTCCAACATGAAACACAACTAAATTATATGAATGCAGAGTTCAGCAGAAAATCCTCAGTCAGCAGCAATGTCTCCAATGCAATTGTCCTAATTTTTAGCTGAACCTGAGACTCTGCCATGCTTTTTGTACAGTGACAACTATTTTTATATAGCTGATCACATGCACCGATGCCAGCACAGACATTTGTTTGGGTTGCTGCTTTATGGTGCTGAATGAATCAATAATCAACCGGGCCAAAGCTGAACAACCAGACATATTTTTCTCACATACATCATTGAAGGTAACTGAAAAGTCTTTTCGACCACCTCGCTAAAGTAAAATGATTTGTTGCAGCTGATCCAGACTAGTTTTTACTTGCATTAGATGGTATCACCTTTCCCACTCTTGCATCAGATACAACGTTATCAGCATCCTCTTCAAACACATTTTATAAATATGTTGTTAAAAAGATGAGATGTGTGTGTGTGTGCGTGCGTGTGTGTAAGCATTTGTTTGGTGGTTTCAGTAGAAAAGCATCAGTGTGGATGAATGATGCTTGTGAAGTAAACATATAGGAGTGCTTCTCATAAATGTTTAATAATCATGTCAAATAAAGTGACTGAACTGGTGTCACCATGTTAAAGTGATCAGTGCTTGTTTGTCTTGAAATCACTTAATTAAATCCAGTCCTGGTCCTCTACATTCACGTTCATGCATGTTTAGATGTCCTCTGCTCCAACACACCTGATTTAAACAAATGGGTAATTAAGAGACGTATGCAGAAATTGACGACATGAGGAGAGGTCATTCAACCACTGAATCAGGTGTGCTGGAGCAGAGAAACAACTGAAGTATACAGGACTGGACATCAGTGGCTCTTCAGGAAAAGGTACAACAGTGAAGTAAAGACTGTGACTGCCTAAACATCAATAAATAAGCCCAAACTGCATTTATACTTTCCTGATAAAAGTCCTCAAATAAAAGGATGCAGGAAGCAGCTAATGTGTGAAGTTGGTTGGTGTTTAGCTGATCAAACTGTTCCCTTCTCATGTTTGAATGAGAAGGGAACACCACTTTTGCTGCTTTCAGATCAACATTCATCAATTTGAACTACTAATACTCAGTTGCATCACATATGAGTTAAGCTAATTACAGAATCGGGCCTGAAGAGGAACTAAAATCCTCGTTTGAACTAGGATTTGAGTCATAACAACAAACGCCTTTGTTTTAGGTGACCTTTGTTTTTACTCTTTCACTGTTGACACATTT